CCCCAAAACCCCAAAACCCCAAAACCCCAAAACCCCAAAGGTACCTTATAGTCTTTTGGGAGATAATTAGAAATTAATTAAAGTTAAATAGAGACATAGATAAGAATTTATTCGCTATTTTCAGATGAAGTAGTCCTCTTTGTAGGGTTTTAGTTGACCTACAACTTTCATATGCAAATAGAACATTTTGATCACTCTCTCTATTTCTTGTTCCACTGTTTAAAGCTCTTCATCATTTAACTATTTAGCATGAATTACGCTTTCTAATCTTTATAGAATGCTTGGATCTTCTTCATCATCCTTAAAATCTTTAGCAAAGTTTAATAATTCTTTGATTAGCTATTGCCCACTAGGTTTATATTCGGAGATATTTTCCAATTTGATTGATTATTAAATAAACTTGGCAACCAAGACCTATTCTTCTAATGCTAAATCTTGACTATGGCAGATTAAAGGCATGAAATATTTTGAGTCATAGATAAGATAATTATCCCAAGGATCCTCGTCAATTTTCAATTATTTCCTTAGAACATGTTAATCCTGAGCTTTTTTAATTTCTGTTAATAATTGTTAAAGTTCCTTTCCAACCTTTCTAAGATAAGGAGTTTACCAGAAGTCATTTATGTTCTTATTTGGTTTCATATCAATAAGAGGCATGTAAGTTTTAATTCCTTTACTAGTTTCTACATTGAATTCTAGAATCTAATCTGAAATTGAATCTATATGATTGACAAAAATTTATTCATCTTTTTAGAACATTAGAGATGATGACTCGGTATCTACTATCAAAATTGAAGTTACTGTAGTATTCTTGGATAAAAATACACCTGAATTTTCCATTATTTCATTAATCATATTGATTGGAGCAAATGGCTGTGAAGCAAGATCAAAGATATGTCTTTCCTTGTAATGATATAAGAGCACATCATCAAAAACAAATAATAGATTTTTCTCAGTTAATGCTTTGTCATTCAAGTATTCTTATCCAAATTATAGAGCAACTCTATGAAAATTAAAAAACATTCTATTATCATTACTTTGGTGCTAAAAAGTATTCTGCATCTGAAACAGTAGAGTCTTATCCTCCAACAGTGAAGCATGCTAATTATTTTTGAAGCTCAGATTATACACCATCGTAGAGTTTCATTGATTAATTATTTGAAAGTCCAACATATATTGCTCTATTATCCTTATTTTCTCTAAGGAAATTCTATATTACACTAAATGCTGTTCTAGATTTACCTAAAATATAATTAGCAACAGGAAAGAAGGTATTACCTGAATTTCTTTCACCTTTGAATACAATTACATTTCCCTGAGTCAGTGGTTAACCTATATCAATTCTCATATGACCTGAATATAATTGTCTTTAAACTATATCTCTTTTGAAGGAGGTTTTCCTCAGGCTATCATCAATATTTACTGTATAAGTGTTAGTCTAATTGCTATCTACTTATCTAATCTTCATACCATGAATATTTGTTACTGAACCGAAAGAATACTATTATGAGATGTGCATTATTTCATTTTCTTTATTTACTTCTTCACCAATGACATTTTACTTTTTCAATAAGAGTCCAATAGCATCTTCATTATATAGAGCAAGTGTCAATGAAAGAGCATTATTTTTGCCTATACTTAAAGGACTAAGAAATCTCCATCTTGGGTTAACACCATTAATATAAACAACGTCATCTTTCTATTTGATTACAAATGGATTATTTTATGATTAAGCTTCAACTTCCTCCTAAACATCAGTTTCTTTGGTTTTTAAAGTTAATTTTAACATCAAATTATCAAATTCCTCATTTATATCACTTGCCTTCGAGGAAATGGTTTTCTACGATGACTTAATACCAAAAGATTATGTTTAAACTAAGACTTATGGATAGTTTAATGAAGATCTAGATAATCTAAGCGTGTTTCTATATATTAAGAGTTTCGATAGCATTTTGATTAAAGGTTGTTTATTTATTATAATTATTGATAAAACTTTAATGGACTAAACTAAATATTTGCACGATTAGAAAGCCAGATTTAGGACTTTTACAATGATTACTTGGTGTTGCTTGCCAAACAAGGTAGATCTTTTTTTCTCTCAATTATTTAGCTAAATCCTAGAAAACTCAGTAGGCTTGGATTTATCAATGTGAGTAATAATTAGATATAGTGTGTGGATTGTTCAATTACAGTGACAATGAAAAGTCATATGAATTTTTCAAGCGATGAGATCTAAGCAGATAGAATGCTCCAAAGAGTCATTAATAGTCATTTAGATGGTTGTATATTCAAAATAAACGAAGAAGATCTTAATAAAGATAAGTTGAAGGTGTTATCACTACCTTAAAATGAATTTTCGAGCTCAAATCTCAATTAAAATATTGAGTTCTTGATACTAAACAGAAGACTAATGCAGCTAAGATGGTAAGAAATATATGTTAGTCTTCTGCGATCATTCAAAGATGAAACTTTATGTCCTGTTATAAGTAAGGAATTCATTAAAGTCTTTGAGTAGGAAAGTGTTTAATATTTAAAAAAGCTTGTCTGGGCTGTAAATACCTCAATTTCTACAGATTTAGAAAACTAAAATAAAGATAATTCAATTAATCTTTATGGATTATTTTCTCTATTTGGCTGGAGAAGTGTAAGAACTACTGATAAGCATTATCTAGAATGCTGTTTCTGTGCTAGATCGATAGAGTTTGGAATACTTAAACTACAAAAGAGTAAATATGTTCTGATTGAAATCAAGCAAAATGAAGATAATGACTAGAATGATCTAGTCCCTGAGAATGCTGAATTATTTGAGTTTGATCCTCTAAATGCTCATCACAAATTCTGCTACAATCATCCTTATTCAAAGCCTAATAAGCAAAAGGCTTACTAGTTTTTAGTATAGATGCTACTAATTAAATATTCAAAAGATCCCTAACTACTTTATATAAGAAATTAAGTTCTTAATGATGATAACTAGCACATTGAAAGTAAAGTCTTCGACTCATCTAAACTATAAGGTCTATCTGAATTCGTTTAGGATCAAATAATTCAGAAAATAAAAGACAAGCAAGAAATATAAAGCATAATCTCAAACTACCAATAGAAATAGGAGGAATAAAACTAGATTGCTTAGCAAGATAGCTAGCTTGGAAAAAGAATATTGAGAGAAGATGCTGACGGAAAAGATGTTATCTCTCAAGTAAAGTAATCACTTGAAGAGAATAGAAAGAGACTTAAGTATTTTCAAGAGCAAACTCTTAAACTTAGAGAACTGGTAAAGAAATGAATATTGTATTTTAATTGAGTTAAGCCAAAAATCATTAATTTAATCAATTTTCAGATTTAAATCGAATTTTTCATAAAGGGGTTTTGGGGTTTTGGGGTTTTGGGG